GGTGATGGGGAAGACGGGAGGGAGGAGGATAACGAGGAGGAGGAGGAGGAGGAGGTCCCGAATCGATGGAAATCGAATCGTGTAGGAAAGTACACCCTATGATGCCACAGGTCTCTACATCATACCATGTGATAGTACACCATACCATGTGATAGCGAGGGTCTCTCAATACATCCACCGTTCTGGATGATGACCGTGGCATGAGGAGTGAGGTGGAATGAGGAGTGATGAGGAATATTATCAAAGATGATGGGGAGGAGGAATACGAGGAGTGAGGACTGAGGGGCCAGAGGACAAGGAATACCAGGATGAGAAATCGGAGGAGGAGGAGGAGGAAGAGGAGGAGGAAGAGGAGGAGGAGGTCCCGAATCGATGGACATCGAATCGTGTAGGATAGTGTATCCTACGATGCCACAGGTCTCCACGTCATACCATATGATAGCACAGCATATTGTATTCCTGCCCGCGAGGGTCTCTCAATACATCCACCGCTCTGGATGATGACCGTGGCATGAGGAGTGAGGTGGAATGAGGAGTGATGAGGAATATTATCAAAGATGAGGGGGAGGAGGAATACGAGGAGTGAGGACTGAGGGGCCAGGGCCAGGGCTTACTGAAGGCTAGGCTTGCCGAGGGTAGGGTTTACCTATGGCTTTAGGGTATCCCTAGGGTAGCCAAACGGTAGCCCTGCGGTTAGCCCAAAGGTAGCCTTTAGAGTTGCCCTAGGGTAGCCCCTAGGGGTAGGTAGCCCGAGGGGTAGCCCCAGGGTAACCCTGGGGAGCCCACCCCTCGGGGTAGGCCTAGGGTAAACATGGGAGTAGGCCCTAAGTGTAAGCCTAGGGTGGCCTTAGGGGTAGGCCTGAGGGGAAGGCCTCGGGCAGCCCCAGGGGTAGGCCGTAGGGGTGGGCCCAGGGTAGCGCAGAGGGGCAGGCCCTACGAGTAAGCTTAGAGTAGCCTTAGGGCTAGGCCCGAGGGGTAGGCTTTGGGGTTAGGCCTGGGGTAGCCTTCCCTCGGGCGATCTATAAGGCAGACTTGGGAGAGCTGCTCGACTTGATGGCGGCCAACCGCTCCAGCGCAGGGTTGCCGCCGCAGGCGGTAGCGCCCGCTAGCCACTCCAAGGACGTGTACGGGAAGCACCGAAAGCTGCTGAGGTCGCTGTACCACAGTAAATTCCCGCCGATGCGCTTCCAAGTGCACGCCGACACGCCCAAGGGGCAGGCTCGGGCGTGCTCCCTGGCGGCCTCGCACGGGCGCTGCGTCGTCGTCACCGGAGAGCCTATGCACTGCGTCTTCGAGGTCAGGAGGCTCGTCCCAGCGAGCGCCAACGACACCGAGGTGTTCCTGGCGGACTACAAGGACGCCATCACCCGGTTGTCGGCGGCGAGTCCCCCACCGAAGGGCGACGGCGCGGGCCAGCCTGAGGACCTCGAGCACGAGGCGGAGGCCCTGCTCGAGAGGTCCGTGAGCCAACTCCCCCCGACGCTCCAGCGGGAGGCGGCGCTCGACCCTGACAACATAGAGCGCGTGCGGACTTTCCGGGCCCAGCCGCGCTGCGCCAGGGCAGGCACCTGGAAACGCGTCTTCGGTTCTCAGCCGCCCAGGGGCGCGCTGGCCCGGATCGCCCGCCTCTGCGGTGCCCAGCTGGACAGCTCCGCCTCGTATTGCAACTACCGCGCCGACAAGGCGTTCAGGGCCGAGCTGCGGCGCGTGCAGCACTGGTACCGACCGGGGCGCCGACAGCGACGGTGGCGCACCGGCATCGTGCGGGACCGGCGGCAGGCCGCCCACGTCAAGGGCGTGCGCAGCGTCATCACGCGGAAGGTGCGCGACCACTTCCGCAGGATGCGCCGCCGCGTCAAGGTGGAGGGCCTGATGAACTGGCGGGATGTCGCGCTCGCCACGCGGCAGGCGGGCATCCCCGTCCAGTCTGGCACGGTCCCAGTGGAGCGGTTGTGGTCCTGCTTGGAGGACATGATGCCTGCAGCCGCGCGGGGCGCATCGCTCCGGTGGTTCAGGGTCCTTAGCATGGTTATGTTCTTGCGCTACAACTACATGCACTTCAACAAGGACAACCTGCCGACGATGGCAGAGCGGGACCCCCTGCTCGGCCAGCGTCTGGCGACGATCGCCATGCTGGCTCGGGCCGTGAACGAATCCGATCAGGGCTTGTCGCACCTGGCGCCTCTTTTTGACCCGTTCGGCTCGTGCTGACGCGCCGCGGGGCGCGACTTGTTTTTGTCCTTCCCTTTTTCGGTTGGTGCCCGCGGCCTTGGCCGCGCGCTGCGCTGTTCGGCAAGGCGCCCGGAGGTGCGGAGGGGGATAGGCTACCCCGCGCTGCAGACCTTCACATCGCGGCGTTGCTGTCGGTTGCCAAGGCGCTTCCCTGATTGAGCAACGCTGTCATTATTGTGTTCGTGCTGCGCGTTCCCCGTTGCATTTTTGTTGCGCGCGTCCGTTATCGCGGAGGCTGCGCGCGGTGCCGCCGCCGCGGCCACGGCTGCGCGCGGCATTAGTGATTGGACCGCTCAGCAGAGGCAGAACCCCAAAAAACGAAGTGGCGAAGAGGGGGGGGGGCGAGAGGAGACGGGAGGGGCGGCCCTGGCGGCAGCGTAGAGAGGGAAGGCCCCGAGGAGAAGGGAACGCTGAGGAGGGCGATGATGGGGAGAGCGACATCGACGCACCCGCTTTGTTTCTAGGGGACTTTCCGTGGGATCTGATGTTTTGCACGTGTCGCAGCAAGTTGTTCAATATTTTGGGCGTTCGGGTCCCCTCGCATTCCTCTTCTTCTCCATGCCAGAGGGATGGGTTTCTATCGGGGTTGATTGAAAAGCGCGCTTGTGCTGCAAAGGAAAGCAGATCCCACGGGAAATGGTTCGCATTTTACAGAGTTTGCTGAGCGCCCCTGCTCTCTCGGGGTGATAATTTCTATTCAGGTTTTTCCTTGAGCTCTTCCCTTTCTCACGCGTTTGCTTCCCCCTCTACCTCGCCCCCCCCCCCCCCCATCCACGCTCTGCCCCGCGAGGAGCGGCCCCGGCGATAGCGGGGAGAGGGGGGGCCCCGAGGAGGAGGAAACGCCAAGGAGGGCGAGGGGAGGAAGGACGACGACGCACCCGCTTTGTGTCTGGGGGACTTTCCGTGGGATCTGATGTTTTGCACGTGTCGCAGCAGGTTGCTCAACATTTTGGGCGTTCGGGCCCCCTCGCATGTCTTTTCTTCTCCATGCCGCAGGGATGGGTTTCTATCGGAGTTTACTGACCAGCGCAGATTTTTCATAAAGGAAAGCAGATCCCACGGGAAATGGCTCGCATTCTACGGACGTTTGCTGAGCGCCCCTGCTCTCTCGGGTTGATATTTTCTATGCAGGTTTCTCCTTGAGCTCTTCCATTTCTCTTGCTTTTGCTTCCTCCTCCGCCTCTTCCCCGAGGAGGCCCCGAGGAGAAGGAAATGCCGAGGAGGGCCCCGAGGAGAAGGAAATACCGAGGAGGGCGAGGGGAGGAAGGAGTCCACAGGGATGGGTTTCTATCGAAGTTAACTGAAAAAGCGCGCTTTTCATGTATAAAGGAAAGCAGATCCCACGGGAAATGGCTCGTATTTCACGGATGTTTGTTGCGCGCCCTGCTTTCTCGGAGTAACGTTTTCCATTAAGGTTTCTCCTCGAGCTTTTCCATTTCTCTTGCTTTTGCTTCCTCCTCCGCCTCTTATCCCCCTCTCCCCACCACGCTCTACCCCGCGAGGGGCGGCCCCAGCGATGGCGGGGAGAGGGAAGGCCCCGAGGAGATGGACATGCCAACGAGGGCGAGGGGAGGAAGGAGTCCACAGGGATGGGTTTCTATCGAAGTTAACTGAAAAAGCACGCGTTTCATTTATAAAGGAAAGCAGATCCCACGGGAAATGGCTCGCATTTCACGGATGTTTGTTGCGCGCCCTGCTTTCTCGGAGTAGCGTTTTTCATTAAGGTTTTTCCTCGAGCTTTTCTCCTTCTCTTGTTTTTGCTTCCTCCTCCGCCTCTTCCCCCTCTACCCTCCACGTTCTACTCTACCCCGTTAGGAGCGGCCCGTGCGACCCCCCTCATCCCATCCACGCTCCATACCGTCAGGGGCGTCCTCCCCCTCCTTGTCCTCCTCCAGCTCCTTCTCCTGATCCTCCTCGTCCTCCTCGGCGGCGCTGAGCGGCGTTGGGTGGCGCAGAGTGGCGCCGAGTAGCGCTGAGTGGCGCCGAGTGGCGCTGAGTGGCGCCGAGTGGCGTTGAGTGGCGCCAAGTGGCGTTGAATGGTGCCGAGTGGCGCTGGGCGGCGTCGAGTGGCTCCCAGGAGTAGTGCTGGGTGGCGTTGAGTGGCGCTGAGTGGTGCAGAGCGGTGCTGACTGGCGCTGAGTAGCGCAATGTTTTTTTTCCGCCCGCTTGGCCGTCACGCTGAGAAAGTTGCTTCAACATATCGAACGTTTGAAGCTCCGCGCGGGCTTCTTGGATCTACGTTGGTTTCCCTCCCTGGCGCGCGGAGCGCGCTAGGGGCGGCGCCAGAGGCGTCGCCAGGGGGGCCCAGCGCAGATCCAAGAAATCCGCGCGGAGCTCAGGAAATATTGTATGCTTACTTTTGTTCACGACTCGAGGGCAATCGCAGAGCATCCTGGATCATCTCGGGGAAAAAATCACGCACGAAGCCTACAAACGCACGGGGAACGGACGTGCGAGCGATGTCAGCCACACGCAGAGGGGGGAGGGGGAGGGGAGCAGGCTTCTCAGAAGCACCCCTGCTTCTTGGGGAAGGCGCGGGCCTTGTCTGAAGATGTAGGGCCGGCGCCTTCCAGTAAGCAGCCTCCCTCCAAGAAGCCTTCCCCCGGCGCCTTCCAGTAAGCAGCCTCCCTCCAAGAAGCCTTCCCCCCCCCTCCCCCTAACTAATCACCCCCTAGTGCGCGCCACCAGCGATGGCGACAGCACCGTGGTGCTTTGTTCCTGGCCCGAGGGGGTCTGCGCTCCCCCTCCCCGCCGCCGCCCCGCGGCAGGACCCCCCCTCGCGCGGGGAGGCCGCCGGGGCCTTCCGGCAGATGCTCGCGGCCGGCGTGCGGCCGGACGGGCCCGCGCTCCGGGCGCTCAGCCGCGCGGTCCTGCGGGGAGGGCCGGGGGCAGCGCCGAGTCGCGGGTGTCCTCAACTCAGATTAGGAAGAAGGGGTCCCATACCGCTGCTCCCTTCCCCATTTTCCGAAGTCTTTGGGGCCTCTCGGGAGGCCCTCGTCGCCACCGCTTCCCGGGACTAGCGGTATTGGTACCTGTCGGGTTTCCCCATGCAGCAGCGGGCGAAGAACGGTATGACATATGTTTGTCCGCCGTCAGGGACGCCTGCCCCTGGGCGGCTACGTTGCCACCGCAAGGGTATCAACTTTCCAGCCGCCCTGGGAAAGGCGCCCCCGACAGCAACAAATATTATTTTATACCGTTCTTCGCCCGTTAAATCTACAGGGGGGGACTAGATGATGATACGCTCTTAGATTTCAGTAGTTCTTTGACTCCCTACTGCTCTGCGCAGAATCCCGAAGCGGGGCCGCCGGATCCTCAAGAGGGGGTGGTGGCCAGGAGAATAGTTAAATAGGGGCATAAACGTCAAGCCTCCATCCGATTTGAAGTCCATATCTTGCACGGACAAATTGATGGGATCTTGACCAAGCACTTGTAAACGACAGTGTCCGAGCCTCATTCGTAGCATGTTGTTTCCCCAACCAGTGCTTGCACTGAAGGGGTCCTAGCGGAAGCTGAAAGATTAGGCGAAAGTTTCCCGCCGGTTTTGGTAGCAGGCTGCGTGCCCGGGTTCCTGGTTCGGGGTTCCCGGGTTCCACGTTATTGGTTCAGGGCCGATTGCGGTGGGTTTTGGGTTCCTAGGCTCCCAGGTTCCCGGTCGATGTCCTCAGCGAAAACCATCTTTTGATTGGGGTTCTTCTCTGGTGTCGTTGAATCAGTGCATCTTCATGTTTGTAGTCATGTGAGTTTCCAGCCAGCCGCATGCCCTGCGCTACGGCGCCCACCTGCGACGCCCTCGTCGGCGACAGCTGCAGGTCCGAGGTTCTGATGTTCCGATGCTCCGGTGTCACTGTTTGTTCCCCTAGATGATCGGGGGTGGACAGACCTCCTACCCTGACACGTCGATTAAGGAATTGGCCGTTTTCGGTTCGCGAGAGGGCGTCGCGGCCGTCATTTTTGCGGGCCCAGGTCCGTTGGTTTCGGTCCCAGGCCGTTCTCACTAAGGGGAGGTCTACTAAAGGGAGGTTTGTCCACCGCCGAGATGACCAGGGGGCGGATGGCGTGGCGGGGGGCCCGAGATCACTGACATCTCCCCAGACTGCGTGGAGTCGGGGGCGTCCTTAGCAGGGGGCTTCTCATCGCTCGGGCGTGTGCATTCTTTCGGCGAGGCTAGCGCCAGAAAAGCTGGACCATCCTGGAGCACCCTGGACCATCTTGGGAAATACGCGCGCGAAATCAAACAGTGCACGGAGAGTGGACGTCCAAGAGATGGCAAGGGGGGCGACTCGACAATGATACGTTCTTAGACTTGAGATTTCCATGATTCCCTACTGCTCCCCGCAGACTCCAGAAACGGGGCCGCTGGAAGTCCGGAGGGAGAGGGGTCCTGATTACGGTTTGCCGACGTGGTCAGCCTCCTGGGCCCCCCTTTCGGGTCCCGCGGCTACAGCAATCGGCATGGAGTGAAAACCGGACCCCAGGGGTAGCCCCAGGGTCCAGGACGCGGGTCGCTCAGGACCCCCGCTCTGTGAGGTGCAAGATGTCATGATATCAATGCGCACTTAGACTTCCAAGATAACCCAGATTCCCGACTGCTCCGCGCAGACAAGTCGGGGGCGTCCTCAAGAGGGGGGTGGCAACCAAGTCAGGGGAACAGACACTGGCGGCAAGCCTTGGGGGGAAGTGAGCCGTGCGGGCCTTCTCAGAAGGCTCGGAAGTCCCCCGGCCTTCTGAGAAGTTTTCCGGGCCGTCCCCGAAGGCAGAGAAACTTCTCAAAAGGTCAGAGGACTTTAAGAAGCCCCGCCGCCTTCTGAGAAGGCCTGCTCCGGGGGCTCTGATACAGTCGGGGCGTTGAAGAAGGAACCCTTTTCGTTTGGGAGGGGCTCCGTGTTCCTTAGTTGTTTTACAGCGCTCCTTGGGTTTTCCCCAGGTTTTCCATGGAAAATCGGAGTTTAACTTATGGGAAAAAGGGGCCTCGTTCCTTATTTATCGTTCCTTAGGTCAACGCCCCGACTGTACCTCTCCAGATTGCATGGCCCCTGTTCTCATGTCAATGCGTCCCTTGGCCCCCCACCTGGGCCACGCACGTGCCTCGGGCCATGATTTGCGAACCTCCCTCCTGGACGCCCCCCTCTTGACCGCCCCCGACTTAAGGGAGGGCCAGGGCCAACTTTGAGGATGGGGGCTGGCTCAGGGGACCCTGCGATCTGGAACCCTGCGGTCTGGAACCCTCGAACCCTGGGAACCTTGCAATCACACTGGGCGCTTGCGCCCACTTTCGAGCTCATGGACCAACACAGATCGATCCGGCTCGCGAAAAGAAGCTAGAAACATGGGGTCAAGGGATCCAGGGGAGTTTTTCCCGATGCCTTTCTTCCTCGCGACGTCGGATTTAGGGGCCTGGCTCAGCGCGGGGACATGCCGGCTGACCACCGCACCCGGAAAAGCTCGCGCCGTAAAACCGAAAAACACACGACGGAAGGTGTCTGGCCGTTTTCGGCCTCAGGGGGGCCCTCGCCAGACCTTGGGACCGTCGAAGGACGACTCGGGATGGTAAAGCCGGTCCTGGGGAGTGGGACGAGGCATCCGGGGGACCACGTATTGAGCAGATCAAGACACTGTATCTCTGGGCACGGATCCTGGCTGGGCCCAACAGGGGCAGCGTCCCAGGGGGGATGGGCTGATCGAGACGACCGAAGTGGGCACGGAAAGAGTGGGTACAAGCCCAGCAGCAGTTCCTGTTCATTTTGAGCCAGACTCGCTCTCCGCGCCGCCGCGGACGTCGTTTTTGGAAGCCAAAAGGCGCCTGCCCAACAGCGGCCGCTGTCGGTTTTGGACAACATTTGTTGTTCGGCATTGTACCCATTTCTTCCGTACCCATTGCGGGCGTCCACAGATTTCCCAGATTCCTTATTGGTCCGCGCAGAACTCCAGAAGTGGGGCCACGGGAATATCCGGAACTCCTCGAACACATCCTGAGTCAGTCGTATCATGATATGGTTGTCGTCCTAGATTTCCTCGTGGCGTGGAGGTGGAGAAGGGGGAGGTGGAGGGGGAGGAAGGCAGGCTGTCGTGTGTGTGGGTGTGGGTGTGAGTGTGGGTGTGGATGAGGGTGAGGGTGTGTGTGTGTGTGAGTGTGTGTGTGGGTGTGGGCGTGGGTGTGCGTGTGGGTGTGCGTGTGCGTGTGCGTGTGGGTGTGCGTGTGCGTGTGCGTGTGCGTGTGCGTGTGCGTGTGCGTGTGCGTGTGCGTGTGCGTGTGCGTGTGTGTGCGCGTGTGCGTGTGCGTGTGTGCGTGTGCGTGCGCGCGCGCGTGCGAGTGCCCGTGTGCGCGTGTGCGCGTGTGCGCGTGTGCGCGTGCGCGCGTGTGCGCGTGTGCGCGTGCGTATGCACGTGCGTATGCGTGTGCGTGTGTGTGTGTGTGTGTGTGTGTGTGTGCGTTTGTGTGCGCAGTGCGCGTGCGCGTGCGCGTGGTGCCTGGTGCGTGGTGTGCGGTGTGCGGTGCGCAGTGCGCTGTGCGCCAGTGCGCTGGTGCGTGTGGGTGCGTGTGGGTGCGTGTGGGTGCGTGTGGGTGCGTGTGGGTGCGTGTGGGTGCGTGTGGGTGCGTGTGGATGCGTGTAGGTGCGTGTGGGTGCGTGTGGGTGCGTGTGGGTGCGTGTGGGTGCGTGTGGGTGCGTGTGGGTGCGTGTGGGTGCGTGTGGGTGCGTGCGGGTGCGTGTGGGTGCGTGTGGGTGCGTGTGGGTGCGTGTGGGTGCGTGTGGGTGCGTGTGGGTGCGTGCGGGTGCGTGCGGGTGCGTGTGGGTGCGTGTGGGTGCGTGTGGATGCGTGCGGGTGCGTGTGAGGGCGTGTGGGTGCGTGTGAGGGCGTGTGGGTGCGTGTGGGTGCGAGCGGGTGCGTGCGGGTGCGTGCGGGTGCGTGCGGGTGCGTGCGGGTGCGTGCGGGTGCGTGCGGGTGCGTGCGGGTGCGTGCGGGTGCGGGTGCGTGCGTGCGTGCGTGCGTGTGTGTGTGTGTGTGTGTGTATGTAAGTTTGTAAGTGTGTGTAAGTGTGTGTAAGTGTGTGCAAGTGTGTGTGTGTAAGTGTGTGTGTGTGTGTGTGTCTGTGTAAGTGTGTGTGTGTGTAAGTGTGTGTGTGTGTAAGTGTGTGTAAGTGTGTGCAAGTGTGTGTAAGTGTGTTGTGTGTTTTGTGGTGTGTTGTGTGTGTTGTGTGTTGTGTGTGTTGTGTGTGTTGTGTTTTGTGTGTGTTGTGTGTTGTGTGTTGTGTGTTGTGTGTGTGCGAGGGCCGCGCCCGCTTCGGCATCCAAAGTGGCACATTGTCGATTGGGAGGGAGTACGAACCGCGATGTCAGTGTTGCCATGGTGCATATTCCCCTAACAGTGCCTGCACTTAATTCGGGGCTGTTGGTCGTCTTCAGGAAATGGGTAGAGGTTCCCAAGGGCCTCTGGGCTTCCGGATTCCACGTGTCGCGCACATGAGTTGCGCTGTAGGTTGCCAGATATTTCACGGTGTCATAGGTTGCGCCCATGGGTTGCGCCATAGGTTGCTAGGGAGCTTTTGGTGTCAAAGGTTCCGCCCGCTGGTTGCGTCGTAGGTTGCCAGGAGCCACTGGGAGCCATAGGTTGCGATTGCGCCACGGGTTGCGTCATAGTTTGGCGGGTACCATGGTTGCGCCCTTGGGTTGCAGGAAAGGTTATCGAGGACTTTTGTTTGCCATCAGTGGCGCCCATGGGCTACGCAATGGGTTGCGCCTGTGACTCGCGCCATGTGTCACTTTGCGTTCCATTTCACTGCTCTGCGCATTGGTTTGCATTGCCTCACGCTGCCTTCGCATGACCTTGCATTGCGCTGCCTTGCGCCTCACATCACAGACTGCACTAATTCAGTTTGTTGGGGTACACGCTGGAAGCATCTAACTCAACCGTGCCGCTGGCGCCCTGTCTCCCTCGGCCTCGCCCCTTCTGCCTATTCTCGGGCGCCTCCTCCCTCCTTCCTCCTCCCCATCCCTTCTCCCTCCTCCTACCCCTCCTTCTCCTCCTCGTCCTCCTCCTCGAGATCGGGGGATTGTGAGGGACCTCGCCTTTCGAATGGTGTGTTCGTATGGTTCCCGTAGGAGTAACGCATCATTTCTCCTCTGTCGTGTCCTCTTCTTTCTCCTCCTTTCCCTCCTCCTCCTCCTCCTCCTCCTCGTCCTCTTCCTCCTCATTCTTCTCCTACTCCTCCTCCCCAGCTCCCAGATTGATGTTGTTTCTCTCCTCCTCCTCCTCCTCCTCCTCCTACTCCTCCCCCCACACAAAACAAATCGGCTTCGCAGTTGTTATGTTTTTTGTGTGTATGTTTTTTTTTTTATCGGGGGGGGGGAGGATGAGGCGAGACCACGAATCTAGAGCATCCTCCTCGTCTCCTCCTCCTCCTCTCACCGAAGCCGTTTTTTTCTCGGGGGGGTGGGGGGCGGCGGAAGAAAAAAAATCCGACGTGGCCTCATCTGCCCTCACCTCTGGAAGGACTTCTAGTGAAAGCCCCCACAAGAAGGATTCAGATTGAAATCCTCCACACGAGGATTCCCATCGACACCCTCTACAGAAGGATTGCAATTGAAATCCTCCACATGTTGGTTCCTATTGGAATCGCCGGCAGAAGGATTGCGATTGAGATGCTTCGAACGACATAATCCCCCCGTTGTCATTGCATTGGCATTGGCATTGCGCTGGACTTGTGCTTTGCAGTGCGTTGGCATTGCACTGGCACTTCGCACGCACTGCGTTGGCGAATCCTGATGGAACCCTCCACATAAGGACTCCTATTGAAACCCCCTACAAGAAGGACTCATATTGAAACCCTCCACAAAAGGGTTCATAGTGAAATCCCCCACAGAAGGATTCAATGCGAAGCCCTCCACTGAAGGATTAATGTTAAAATCTACCACAAGGGGTTTCCCCAATTAGCAGCATTGCATTGACATTGGGTTGGGATCGCCGTGACATTGCGCTGGCATTGCGTAGACACTGCTTTGGCATTGCGCTGGCATTGCGCTGGCGAGTCCTGATTACTCCTTCGCAGAAGGATTTCTCGTCAAACCCTCCACAAAAAAAGGATTCCTATTGAAATCTACCACAAAGGGTTACCCCCATTGGCATTGCATTGGTATTTGATTGGGATCGCCACGGCATTGGTTTTGCACTGCGTTGGCATTGCGTTGGCATTGCGTTGGCGAGTCCTAATCAGACGCTCCACATGCAAATTCTTTACGATCCAGCCCAACAAGAAGGATGCCTACTGACTCCCCCCCCCCTCCCCGCCCCCCCCCCCCAACACACACACACACACACACACTCACACACATACACACACAAGAACGATTCAACTTGAAATCCTCCACAAAAGGACATCCGAAGCCCTTCACAGAAGGAGTCCTATTGAAATCCTCCGAACATGGGTTCGCAATGACATCATCCCAGAAGGCTTCTGATTGCACCGAGAGAGGATGCCCCCAGGTGGCATTGGTTTAACATTGTGTTGGCAGCATTGCGCTGGCGGGTCCGAATGCCTCCCTTCGCAGAAGGATTCCTAGTGCAGCCCCCAGAAGAAGGCTTCTCATTGAAATCCACCACAGAGGATTGCCCCCAACGACATTGCATTGACATCGGATTTGGGTCGCCTTGGCATTGATTTGGCATTGCGTTGGCACTGTTTGAGCATTGTGCTGGCATTGCGCTGGCAAGTCCCAATGCCTCCCTTCGCAGAAGGATTCCTATTGGAACCCTCCGCAAAAAGGATTCCTTTTGAACTCTACCACAAAGGATTGCCCCCAACGACACTGCATTGGCATCGGGGGATCGCATTGGCATTGCGCTGGCATTGCGTTGGCACTGCTTTAGCATTGCGCTGGCATTGCGCTGGCAGTGCGCTGGCGAGTTCCAATGCCTCCCTTCGCAGAAGGATTCCTATTGCAGCCCCCAGAAGGATTCCTATTTCGTATTGAATTCTACCACAGAGGATTGCCCCCATTGCCATAGCATTGGCATAGCATTGGGGTCGCCTTGTCATTGGTTTGGCATTATGTTGGCACTGCTTTAGTATTGCGCTGGCGAGTCCGAATGCCTCCCTTCGCAGAAGGATTCCGATTGAAACCCTCCGCAAAAAGGATTCCGTTTGAAATCTACCACAAAGGGTTGCCCCCAACGACCCTGCATTGGCATCGGATTTGTTGTCGCGTTGACATTGCGTTGGCATTGCGCTAGCATTGCGTTGGCGTCGCTTTAGCATTGCGCTTGCATTGCGCTGGCGAGTTCCAACGCCTCCCTTCGCAAAAGGATTCTTATTGCAACCCCCAGGAGGATTCGTATTGAAATCTAGCAGAGAGGATTGCCCCCATTGCCATAGCATTGGCACTGGATTGGGGTCGCCTTGGCATTGGTTTTGCATTGCGTTGGCACTGCTTTAGCACTGCGCTGGCGAGTCCTCATGGCACTCTCCGCAGAAGGGCTCGTACTTAAATCCTCCACAAGAAGGGTTCCTATTGAGACCCCCACAAGAAGGGCTCCTAGTGAAATTCTCCAAAGGAGGATTCCTGTCGAAACCCTCCACAGAAGCATTCCAATCGAAATCCTCCGAGGAAGGATTCGTCGTGAGATCATCCACAGAAGGTTTCTGATTGAAATCCACCGGAAGAAATAATCCCCAATTGGCATTGCATTGGCATTGGTTGGCAATGGATTGGTACCGCATCGGCATGAATTGGCCTGTTGCAGGAGAGAGACAGAGAGACAGAGAGAGGAAGAAAAGAACATGATTAACAACACACTCAAGAAAGAGAGGCGGAGGATCAATCGAAAAATAGCATATGAAAACGACGAGGTCCCTCACAATCCCCTGGCCTCTCCTCCTCCTCCTCCTCCTCCTCCTCCTTCTCCTCTTTCTTCGTCTCCTCCTTCTTCGTCTCCTCCTCCTTCCTCCTCCCTCCTCCCTCCTCCCTCCTCCCTCCTTTCCTCCTCCCTCCATCCTCCTTCCCTCCTCCTCCCTCCTCCCCTCTCCTCCCTCCCCCCTCCGCGCCTCCTCCTTCCTCCCTCCCGCCTCCCTCCCGCCTCCCTCCTCCACCATCCCTGGACCGAGCGCGGGGGACCTCGGAAGCTTAAACAACCCCGTCGAGCGGGTGGTTCGCGACACGGCGAGGCGCCACGCGTCCATGCCGCCCCTCTCGCATGCTCTTGTTTTGACCAGGGCCGAGGGAGGAGGAGGAGGAGGAGGAGGAGGAGGAGGAGGAAAAGAGGGAGGAGGAGGAGGAGGAAAGTGAGGAGGAGGAGGAGGAAAAGGAGGAGGAGGAGGAAAAGGAGGAGGAGGAGGAGGAGGAGGAAGGAGGAGGAGGAGGAGAGGGAGGAGAGAGGAGGAGGAGGAGGGAGGAGGAGGAGGAGGAGGAGGAGGAGGAGAGGAGGAGGAGGAGGAGGAGGAGGAGTTGCAGGAGGAGTTGCAGAAGGAGGAGGAGGAGGAGGAGGAGGAGGAGGAGGAGTTGAGTAGTGCTGAGGGGCAGAGAGCGCCTACCTCTGCAGGACCACCAAAACAGGAGCGTCAAGGTGGTCAAACGTATCGCCGGCGAAGCCGACAAGGAGGTGTAAAATCCAACCGTTCGTTTATGCCAATTTGTTTGTTGGCTTGACGCTGTGTGTGGTGCATCAAGTTCGGCTTGACCGAGCAGGTTGGTTGCGCCCCGTGACGTCCGCTTGGGGTGTTCTGCAGACCTGGCCCCCCAGCCCTACTCAACTCTTCTTGGGGGATGCGGCCGCCTGCGCTTCGCTCTGTCCATCCCGGCGTCCCCTGCCCCCTCCCCATCCGTCTCCGTTCCTTTCGACTACACGTAAGAGTGACATTTCGCCGGAGTGACCTTTGGCGCGGGCACAATGGGGTCCCCCGATCACCGATTGCGATGTGATGGTAGCGTCTGGAGCGCCTGAGTTTGGTCCCCCAGCGGCCCCCCAAAAGCCGCGCACCAAAGGTCACTCTTACCCAGGGTCACTCTTGAGTGTAGCCGATCCTTTCCCTTCCTCGAGCCGTTGATGCCAGTCTGTTCGCCTCGGTGCCCCCGCGTGGCCTCGCGGCCCCGTTTGCGCTTCTTCTCGGCCAGCTCCCTCCCGCTCGTGTGCTTTCCCGGGCCTTCCCCTCGCCGCGCCCTTCGGGCCCTCGCTCGGCCCCCCTCGTCGTGCTGTGAGGGAGCTCGGGCCAGACGCCAGCCCGCGTCCAAAGACATCCCCTCCCTTCCCTGCCCTCCCCCCTCCCTGACCCTATTTTGCCATGGGGGAGGCGGGTCCTGAGAGAAGCTGGCCCTCGGGTTTTGATACCGCTTTCGGGCCCTTGGGGCCCTCCACGGGCCCCCCCCCCTGGACCGCCAGAAGACGACTCCGGGGAAGGGGCCCTGGGCTCCAGGACCCGTTTCCCTCCGGACCCGTTCCCCCCATGCTGGCTCTGCTGCCCCCCCATCCCCCGACCTGGGAGGTCGGCGCCGACGAGTGCCGGCGCCTCTGTGCAGAGCTCGGCGTCGAGCAGGAGGCCGTGGCCTGACCCGCCGCCGCCAGAGCCAGCACCACCGTCCCCGGCGGCGCCAACCCGCCGCCGCAGGAACTTTTTGGAGACCACAGCACGCTCCATCCTCCCGCGACCGCCTGCCCCCCCCCCCGCCCTCCAGACATCTGCCTCTCTGCCGTCTCCTCTCTAGATTGCAGAAGCTTGGCGTCGCTCGGATGCGTGTATTTTCCTTCGGCGAGGGCCATCGAGGAGCATCTAGGATCACCCTGCGAAAACATGAACGCGCGAAGCCGAAACATGCACTGGGAGTGCACGTCCAGACGATGGCAAGGAATCAAAGGAGGGAAGACCACCCAGATCCCGACAATTGGCGTTTACCAAACGGCCCTGGGCGTTTACTGAACAGCTCTGCCCTGTTCGATTCCTTCCTTGGGTGCGTTTACTAAACGGCTTCGCTTGTCGGGGTGTTTCTTGTTGGGGTGGATTGTCTGCCCTCCAAACAAAGCGCATCGGCACTTCCGTTGCCCCCGGGGTGAGAGGACGGCTGCCCTCTCGCAGAGGGCTCAGGCTCGGGAAGCGGCAGGCGAAGGCTGCAGCGGCCTCCCCCGGCAGGCATGTGGTGGCCTGTCGCCCATCGGTTTGGTGGTGCCTCGAGAAGATTGGGGTCTTGGGAGGGCGCGTACATGGGGGGGCGGTATAAAGGGGGGCAGCGAGGGCTGCAGAAAGATGCCCCTTGGGGCCCCCCAGAGGGGCCCTTCAGAGGCCAGAAGAAGCCCTCGAGGGTCCCAAAAAGGCATTTTCCTGCGCCCCCCCCCTACGTATCGCCCCTCGTTAATTCGCGCCCAAAGGTCGCAAAGTCTGGCATCCAGGGCGGGGAGCTTCGGGCCCCGGGGCCGCCAGAGTGCTTGACGCTTCGCGTAGCCCCGCTGGCCCATCCAGGCACGATGCCCAGGGGCGCAGGCAGGCATGCAGTGAAGCAGAGATGCCAACAACTGTGCAATTACACCTCGGGAAGCCTCTCAGAGCCATCTGGGGGCCATTTTGGAAGCCTGGTCTGGCTCTCTTGGGGCCTGCCTGAGGGCCTTCGGCACCCTCTTGGAGCCATCACGGAGGCCATCGATCAAAGTGGGGAGGTCTTTAGCGCCCCCTCCCCCGCCCGTCAAAAGCTGAAGCATCGCCTCTTGGGGTGATCTTGGGGCGTTCTTGGGGCTGTCCTGGATCCATCTTGGGCCTCTCGTGGAGCTCTCTTGGGCCATCGTAGAGCCATTTTGAGGCCCCCAGAGCCATCGTAAGCGAGAAGGTCAGAGGGCAAACAGCATTCATGCTTCTAGGGTTGGGAATGGGCTGGGCCTCTACAGACAGGGGATAGTTCAGCTTTCGATGTTGTCTGTGCGTGTTGTTCTGAACACGTGTTGTTTTAGCTGTGCTGCGGTGGTGGTTGCCATCGAGCAGACCACCACTTTGAAGTTGTAGGAATCCACGTGGGCCTGGCGAGCGGGGAGCCGCAGAACAGCAATGACATGCGTGTTTGCTACATCGTGATGGTCATGGGCTGCTGGACAGAGGCGCGCCCACATTCACACATGGACAGTCCACCCGAGCCGTCCTCACAATCTGGGCGCGAACGGGCCCATGGAACGCCCCCGATCGGCACCCCCTTGGGGTAGCACACTGCCACGGCTGCTACACTGCGGTGGTCGTGGGGCTCTGACGAGGGCCGCGCCCGACTTCACGAGCTGCCACTTCACCCGAGCCGTCCTCACGCACGGTTTGGACGGGAACTTGCCCGTGGAATACGCTTGGTCGGCACCCCCCGTGGCAGGCCCAGGCGCCACATCTGGCACATCGCGGTGATGATGGCGCCCTGAAAAAAACGCGCCCCTGAACAAAACGCGCCCGCTTCCACAGCTGGCCATTCCACCCGAGCCGCCCCCACAGTCTGTAAGCGAACGGGCCCGCGGAATGCGCTTGGTCGCCCCCTCCCAGGGGGCCCCACGTGCCATGTCTGCTGCGTCGCGACGGTCAGGGGGGCTCCGAAGTGAGACGCGCAGACCGCCACACGGTCGTGATGCTGGAGACGCCTCCCGCAATATGGGCGCGAACGGGTCCGTGGAACATGTCTGGTCGACGCCCTCTCGGGAGGTGTATGCTTGGCACATCTCGGTGAACATGGTGCTCTGAAATCAATCGCGCGCACGGCCACAAACGGCCATATAGTTGAGACGTTCCGACAATTTGGGCGCGAATTGGTCCGTGGAACATGCTGGGTCGGCACCCTCTTCGAAAGCCCATGCTTGTTGCGATGGTCATTGTGCTGTGACAAGACGCGCCCGCCCACAGTCACAAACGGGCATTCGACTGGAGACGTTCCCAGAACTTGGGCGCGAACGGGCCCGTGGAACGCACCTGGGTTGCACACCTGTGGGAGGCCCAACTGTTATGCTTGCTAGATCGCGGTGGCCATGGGGGGGTGCAGCGAGACGCGCCAACAGCTATAGTCGGCCATTCCACTTAAGTCATCTTCACTATCTGGGCGAGAACGCGTCCGTGGAACACGCCTGGTCGGCACCTCCTTGAGAGGACCATGTGCCATGCCTGCATCGCGGTGATCATGGCACTCTGAATAGATGCGCCCATCGCCACAATCTGTCGTTATATTGGAGACGTCCCCACAGTTCGTGCGTGAACGGGCCCGTGGAACATGCCTGGTCGACACCCCCGTGGGAGGCCCAACTGCCATTGCCATATCGCGGTGATCATTGTGCTGTGGAAATAGACGCGCCCACAGACACAATGTGCCATTGCATTGACGACGTCTCCAGAGAATCCAGGCGCGACCGAGCCCGTGGAGCACGCCTGGCCGGCACCCCCGTGGGAGGCCCAAGCGCTATTCTTGCTGAATCGCGGTGGCAATGGCGTTCTGAAACGATGCGCGCCCAGAGCCACAAGCGGCATTCCACTCGAGATGTCTCCACAATCCAGGCGCGAACGCCTCCGCGGAGCACTCCTGGTCGGCAGTCCTTTTTTGGGCCCCAGCGTCAGTCTTGCTGCATCGCGGTGGTCATGGTGCTGTGAAATGGCGCGCGACCACAGCAACAATCTTCCATGCCACTGGATACGTCCCCAGTCTGGGCGCGAACGGGTCCATAGAGCACCTCTGGTCGTCACCCCAATGGGAGGCACAAGAGTCATGCCTGCTACATCGAGGTGGTCATGGGGCTCTGCAACAGAAAGAACCACACACAACCAACAAACGGCCATTCTACGCGATATGGCCCCTCAATCAGAACGTCCACGAGTCCGTGGAATATCCCTGGTCGGCTCCCCATGTGAGGCTCAAGGGCCGTGCTGGCTACATCGCGGTGGCCATGGATGTCCGAGCACGAATTGATGCGTGCAAGAGGCTTCTGTGCATGAGTGATCGTGCAAAAGATGATGTGAGTATGGTTGACTCAGTGTGGGTGGGTCTGAGTGTGCCCGAGTCTGAATGTGAGTGCGCCTGGGTGTGCGTGAGACCTCGGGGCGAGAAGCCGGCCCCCGAAGGCGCGGAACGCTTGACAGGAGGCCCGAGGGCTCCTGAGCAGCCCCGCCGCCTTCCGAGAGGGTCTGCTCCTTCTCACTTCTCTCAAGTCGGGCGTGTCCCTCTACAGGAGGAATGTTCAAAAAGAATCAAAAGATGATGTCCAGGGAGGATTGTTATGGTATTGTTTGACAGGTTTTGAATACTTGTTGGCTAGTTTTTAAAATGTGTCGTCCACAAGCCCCCCTGTAGTAAGTCATTCCCGACCTAACACTTCCCCCCCCCTTTTCGCTCGCCGCCCACTTGCTCCCCCCCATGGGCTATTCGCCCCCTTCGTCGCCCCCGCCACGTGTTCCCCCGGGCCACGCGCGGGCACTGCGCACTGCGCGCCTGTCCGCTCCCCCTCCCCCCTCCCTCCCCCCCTCCCTCCCTCCTCCCTTCCCCTCCCTCCCTCCCCCTCTCCCTCCTCCCCCCCTCCTCCCTCATCCCTCCCCTCCCCCTCCACAATTACTCAATATGAATACTACTCTCCCTCTTCCCCTGATGACATGCTGGGAGTGTTCGCCCCCCCCCCCCCCGCGTATTGTTTTTTTACACAGGATTCCCGAGAGTTGGGTTTTCGCCTGCATGTTTTCCAAAATGCTGCTCTCGCTGAGGCGCTGGCCTCATTTTCGGGCCCCGCTCGTTCCGAATCGTGCTCCCGCTGCAGCGCTGGCCTCATTTCCGTGCTTCCGCTCGTTCCGAATCGCGCTCCCGCTGCAGCGCTGGCCTCATTTCCGCGCTTCCGCTCGTTTCGACTCGTGTTCCCGCTGCAACGCTGGCCTCATTTCCCGTGCCATGCCACGACATGCAATGCAATGCTAGGTTGATACTACGCTTTGTGGTGCTCTTCTACGCCATGCCATGCCGTGCTCTACAATGCATCGCGTACCCTTTCGGGATCCTTGCCCTGCTCGGCATCCGACTGTGCGAGTAGAGAGGGATCTACGCCATGGTAAGGGATGGGAGGGAGGGGTAGGATGTCAGATATGACGCGAGCGCACCTAGCTTGTCCCTCCCCCTCCCCCTCTCCCCCTCCTCCCCCCCCTCCCTCCCCTCCCCCTCCTCCCTCCTCCCCTCCCGCTCCTGCCCCCCCCCCTCCCCCTCCCTCCTCTTTGTCCGGCGGCCAGCCCCGGGGGGGAAGTGAGAGGGGGCGGGCCATCTCCGACGGCTCGGAAGTTCCCCCCGAACGTCTGAGAAGTGTTCTGAGCTTCCCCCGGAGGCACAGGAAACTTCTCGGAAAGCCGGAGGGCTTCCGAGAAGCCCCGCCGCCTTCTGAGAGGGCCTGTTCCTTCTCACTTCCCCCCTCGCTCGCCGCCGATTCTTGTCGGGGGACTTGCCGGCTGACCTCCGCACGGATCCTGGCAAGGCTCATCAAGTTTCGAGGTCCGAGGCTTGAGGTTTTCGGGCGTTTTTTTCTGTCAGCTCTCGGCGGCTCTCCAGCCTCGGGGTGCCTTCCAGCGGCTGCGCCTCGCCGAGAGCGCTCTGGGGGAGCGCTCCATGGGGTGCCCGGGTCGCCCCAAACGCCCGCCGGGCAGCCGAGGGAAGACCCGAACGCGTCGGCCCCGGATCGCCCGTTCCTCGACGATCGGGGGGCCGATAATCAGCCCCGCCCAGTCTTGGAGCGTGCGGTTTTGCCGTTTCGCCAGCGATGCCTTGCCGATTCCAGCTCGAGGCTTCCCCCAGGAGGAGGAGGAGGAGGAGGAGGAGGAGGAGGAGGAGGAGCAGGAGGAGGAGGAGGAGGAGGAGGGGGAGGAAGCGGACCCTTCTGAGAAGGCAGAAGGCCCCTCTGAGAAGGCGCTTCTGAGGCCCTTTCGAAGGCCCTTTCAAGGAGGCAGAAGACCCTTCTGAGGGAGGGCGTCCAAGGAGGCCTTTCTAAGCAGAAGGCGGGCCTTCTTGGACGCCTCTGGCCACTTGCTTCCATGAGGACCCTGCTACCCAAGAAGACCTCCTGCCTCCTCAGAAGGCCTGCCCCCCCCCCCGCGCCACCCCTTTGCGCGCGTCACTTGTAAGGATCGGTGTCCCCAGGCCCCTGACGTCATGGCTTTCTCGTAGCGTCGACCCCCAGAGGTCTCGACCCACTCCCCGGAACCGGTTTTGCTCATCTTGCGTCATGTTTTGACGGCCCCAATGGCCCGGCGAGGGTCCTCGGAGGCCGACGGCCAGCAAAACCCCGCCCGTGCTTTCTCATTCCCCGAGGGGGGGGGGTCGGGGGGGCCCCCGCCTCCCTGGCCGGAGCGCGAGGAGGTCGCACGCGCGGGCCCTGGCTCCGGGGGTGGGCGCCCAGGCAGGGGCCTGGTGCGAGGCAGCCGGCGGCCCCACCCCGATCTCGTGGCGCCCGGCAGGTCCGCGCAGAGGCCGTGCAGGACGCTCGAAGCGGGCACGGGAACGGTGGGTGCAGAGCCCAGCAGGTGACCGTTATCTCGGAGTTTGATGGACCTCCTACCCTGACACGTCGATTAGTGAATTGGCCGTTTTCGGTTCGCGAGAGGGCGTCGCGGCCGTCATTTTTGCGGGCCCAGGTCCGTCGGTTTCGGTCCCAGGCCGTTTTCACTGAGGGGAGGTCTACTAACGGGAGGTTTGTCCACCGCCGATTATCGTATTCGTTGTTCTGCCGATCGGTGCGGGCCCTCGCCCCCCCCCCCCCCCCCGCCTCCTCCCCAGAGAGTAGGTCTTGGCTGCTTTGGGCGCCTGTTTCGAGCAGGTGGAGTCTCCCCCACAGGACGCACTGTTGCAAGCAGTCGCACTGAGCTGAGGTCCGGAGCCAGACCCCCTCCCCTCCCACCCCTTCCGCCCAATGTCGAAACGCCGAAAAGAAAACGTTCACCTGCATTTTCTGTTGATTCTGAACAGGGTTCGTTGTCGGCGTCGCCGCGGTCGCTATCCAATCAGGACAGGAGGCCGCCTGCCCAAGAGCGGCCGCTGCTGGTCTGCGACAACATTGGTTTTGGGCATCGTACCCATGTTCCTCGTATGCCCGTTTCGGGCGTCCGAAGCCGTGGGGCATGGTCGAATTCGGGCGCCGGCGGCCAAGCGGCGCAGTTTTCAAGGCCGGGGGGTCGAGTTTTCGCCGTACATAGAAAGTATCTTTCGGCAGCAAGCCATGGGAGCCTTGTATGCCCTAGCAGTCCCGTCTTCAGGGTGCATTCGCGTCGACTAGCGCCTGGTAGTCGACGAGGTAACGCCGATTGAGGGATGTAGTGGCGATGAGCGCCGACTCGATGTCGACTCAGCGTCACTTTGGGGCCGATCAGCGTCGACTCGCAAGAACAAGATGGTGTGGGAGGCTCCCGTGAGTTGCCACCGGAGAATCGGGGGTGGACAGAACCCCCACCCTGACACGTCGATTAGTGAATTGTCCGTTTTCGGTTCTCGAGAGGGCGCCGCGGCCGTCGTTTTCCAGGCTGGCGCCCGCCAGGTTTGGGCCCGAGGTCGTTCTCACGAAACCACGTTTTGCTATTGTCCATCCCGGAGAGAAGAGTCGGAGGTCGATAGACCTCCTACCCTGACACGTCGATAAAGGAATTGGCCGTTTTCGGTTCGCGAGAGGGCGTCGCGGCTATCATTTTTGGGGGTCCAGGTCCGTCGGTTTCGGTCCTGTAGGCTGTTTTTACTAAGGCGAGGTTTACTAAAGGGAGGTTTGTCCACCGCCGAAAGAGGAGGCCCCAGAGCTCCGACGGTGTGAGATCTTCGATCCGGGCGTGCCTCCTCGCCCTCGGTCTCCCCGGGGGGCCCGCCTGCCGTCGGGCCCCACATGTGGGGCTGCAGCAGAAGAGGGTCCGGGACGCCACAAAAATATCCCCCGGGCAGGGGGGCGATTGGTGGAGATGATGGTGACGATAACGGTGGTGATCATGATGTCGATGATGATAATGATGAGATGATGATGGTGATGGTGATGATGATGATGATGATGATGATGATGATGATGATGATGATGATGACGATGACGATGACGATGACAATGACGATGACGATGACGATGACATGGCGATGACGATGACGATGACGATGCCGATGACGATGATGATGATGATGACGATGAGGATGACGATGCTGATGATGATGATGACGATGATGATGATGATGATGATGACGATGACGATGACGATGACGATGACGATGATGTTGATGATAACGATAATGCTACTGATGATGATGATGATGATGATGATGGTGGTGGTGGTGGTGGTGGTGGTGATGGTGGTGGTGATGATGATGATGCTGGTGGTGGTGAAGATGATGATGATGATGATGACGATGACGATGACGATGATGCTGATGATGATGATGATGATGACGATGACGATGATGATGATGATGATGATGATGCTGATGATGATGATGATGATGATGATGATGATGATGATGATGATGATGATGATGATGATGATGATGATGACAACAACGACGAGGACATGGGCAGGGCAGAGGCTGGGATGGGAGGAGGGAGGAGGGGGAGGAGGAAGGAAGGAAGGAACGAGGACCCAACACCACAGGATGGTTGGGAAATATCCCCCTGGGCAGGGGGGTCGGGGAACCTCGGGTCAGCCGCGCACAAAGGGGGGCGGTGGGAGGGGGGAAGGCCTCTTAGAATCAGAAGGGGGAAGAACACACCACAGGCACACAGGAATCGTCGACTCCCGGGAAGAGATGGGAGAGAATATGGGAAGTTGGGGGGAAGACGAAAACCCAGAACATGTGGGAAAATCTGGAGGATCCTGGGATTTGTGTTTATTTGTATGTGTGTCTCCCCTTTTTAGAAGCACCCCTGCTTCTCAGAAGGCGCGGGCCTCCTCTGTGGAGAAAGAGCCCGCGCCTGCTAAGAGAAGCAGCCTCTCGAGAGCATTGGGACGGGGGTACATGCTAACGCGGGTCCGCCAGGGCGCCGGATCTTGCAGGTTCTTGCAAAGCCAGAGCTGCACTGACCTGGGCGTGCGTGCAGGATCCTGCAGGATCTTGCAGGACCCTGCAAAGCCTGACTGACCCGGGTTTGCATTGACACGGGTAAGTAGGAGCCTGGGCCTCCTTCCAAGGAGCCATCCCCCTTCCACCTACCCCCTTGTGCGCGTCGCGAATCGGGGCTGCGGATCGAAGCAATCAGATCGGAGGACGTCTGGGGTCGGGGCTGCTGGAGCTGGTCCCGGCCCAGGGGTGCCCCCCCCCCCAGCTCCTCCCGCCCGTGCTGGGTACCCCATCTACGTGCCCTCTGTATCGGGAAGGCCTGACGGCTGGTGCCGCCGACCTTGGAGGGGGGCGACGTCGACAACGGCGGCGGCGGCGACGACGACGCTGACGCTCTGGAGCCCTTCTTCGGGCTCTCTTGGGAGCCTCTTAGGCCCTGTTGAGGCCGGGCCTGGGACTGAGGCCCGGGCTGGGGCCGGGGCCAGGGCTGACCCCCCGCTCCTCCCGCCCTTGCTGGGTGCCCCCTCTCCGTACGGTCTGTACTTTTTCAAAGTGCTGCGCCCAGTGCACCTTCGGGACGGACGCTTCGTCTGGGGCCCAGGGAGAAGATCAGCCGACGTGCGGCGCACGATGTGGCTGTCCAATTCGAGAACGGTGGCCTTCGGAGGCTACGCAGTGGGGATGGCAGAGCTGGGTCACGAAGCCGTTTGCCTTGCCTACCCCCCAGTCCTGCCCTCTGTATCGGGACACCTTCCACCACCCGAATCCGAGTCCGAAACAACTGCATAAACATAAGCTTTTGACGGTCCGCGCGGATTTCCCGAATCCGCGCTAGCGCCGCCCCTGGCGGGGTCCGCGCGCCAGGAAGGGGGGTTGAGCACAGATCCAAGAGAGCCGCATCGAGCCCCGAAAGTCTACTTTTTTTACCAGCGCGAGAGAGCCGCATCGAGCCCCGAAAGTCCACGTTTACGCCGTCTTTTCTTCACGAATCTGTCCAGATCCACCGCTTCGGGGTCGTGCCTGGGGACCACGGGCAGTGGTGGTTGTGGACACTTGCCCGCCCGGGCGGTTGGATACCCGTACAGTCGGGGCCCTGAAGAAGGAACCCTTTTGGTTGGGGAGGGGCTCCGCGTTCCTTCAGTGTTTCACAGTTTGCCTCAGGTTTTCCTTCTATGTTTTCGATCGGAAGTCGAAGTTAAACTTACGGAAAAAGGGGGCCTCGCTCCTTATTTAGGGTTCCTCAGGTCCACGCCCCGACCGTTCCCGCCGCTATCCCCGAGCCCCGAGGGCACGGCCCCGCGGCAGTGGAGAGGCAGGCAGAGCCCGCACGGCTGCAGGGCAGGTCCTACACAGGACACGGGAGGGAAGAGAGCCTGCAGAGGTCGTGCATGGGGGGCCCAGGCATTTCATGACCCTTTATTTTTGATGCTCTTCTTTTTACGATTATGATTACCATGTTGATTATTCTTTCTGAGTAATATTACTACTAGTAGAATTGTCATTATTATTGATAAGAAGAAAATAAGAATAATAATAAGTTTACAATTTTCGTCGTAGTATTATGATTTATGTGTTTTGTCTTCTTCTTCTTCCAACACGTCTTCCAGTCCCCCGGCCCCCCACGCGCCCTCGGCCCTGAATCCGCGAGACCCCTCTCCTGACGCCCCCGAGCTGGGGCCCTCGCTGCGCGATCCAGCTCGAGAACTGCTGCGCAGAGAGGGGGCACCTGGGCTCCTGTCGTGACCCTCCTGCGATGCTGCACGCCCTGACGGCGCATCGGCAACAACTTTCAAACTAGCAGGAGCATGCGCGTGGAACCGTGCAGCAGAGGACGGCGACAACGTTTTGCAGCGGCAGTGCCTCGGGCGGCATGCGCTCGGGACGTCGTGCCCAACACGCTGGGGAATCTCAGAGGGAGAGGCGGCCGCCGCCCGGAGCCTCCTCGAGATGCGCAGCGCCCCCTCGGGCCGCCGCCGGCCGACCGCCCCGCAGGCGGGCGGCGGCGGCGGCCGCCGCCAGCGAGACAGACAGCGAGGGCGCGGGGGCGCGGTGACGCGGCCGAAAGTCGAAGAAGAAGCGCCATGAGCATAGACGTTTGGCGCTCCGCGCGGATTTCCTGGATCCGCGCTGGGGCCCCCGGGCGGGCGGCGCCTCCGGCGCCGCCCCCGGCGCGCTCCACGCGCCAGGGAGGGGGTCCGGCGCAGATCCAAGAAATCCGCGCGGAGCGCCAAAAGTTTATGTTTATGTTTTTTGTTTCTTCCTCCAGAAGGGCCCCTCATCCACAGACAGCCTCACACCGCGAACAAAAATGACGGCGGGGGGATTGATTGCGGACGTGGCCGTGGGTTTTTGGAGGCTTCTTATAGCCGCCGCATGCGTGCCTTCCGCCGCGCCTCGCCGAGAGCCTCCTTGGGAGTGCCCGAGTCGCCCCGAACTGCCGCTGCTGAAGGACGGAGTTGCCTATGGCCCGAAAGCCAGACCTCATCGCGTCGTGGAAAACCGTGATGGGAGGTTCTTGGTAACTGTCTGCCTCCTGGGGCTCTTCCTGGGCTCCAGGGCCGTCAAAAAACGACTCGGGATGAGAAGCCGGTCCCCAGGCAGGAGTCCAAACCTTTAGGGGGGCACGTTTCAGAGGCAACGTCAGAGGGCGGATCTGTGATCTGCTCGGGGGGGACGCATCGACTCCTAGTCCGATCGGGCCCGACAGCCCACCCCGCCCGGGAACGAGCTGATTCGCTATCGGAGGCCTAGCGCCGATCGATCGGCGATGCATCATCGTTTCAAGCTCGCTGTTTCCCCACCTGAGCCGATCCCCCCACAGTCGAAACCGATGGTAGGGACGGGCAACCCTCCCACGTGCCACCTCGGTCCCTCCTGAACCGCTCTCGATGGCATGGGCGTCCAAGGCTCCTGCGTCCTTCTCGCGCGTGCTTGCCATCAGTTTTGACGGTAGCGCTCCCCCCCAGCGCTGTGAAGGAGGTCACCACGTCGGAGGCTGCCGCGGCCCGCCTCTTTGGGGGGCCGGGGCGGCGGAGCTGGCGGCAGGCCCGCGTCGCGGCGCGGCGAGAGGGTGGCGGAGGCCCTGGCCCGAGGTGGCCCCAGCCTTCCCCCGGGCGGCCGGAGAGGGCCTCCCGGGGGGGCACCCCTCGCGGGGGCCCCACGGGTCTTCGGCTGTCCAGGGCCACCACGAGGGTGCGAAGTCAGTCGCGCGCTTCGCGGTCTGGGCGGTTTCAGAGCGAGGCGCCAGTCCCTCATCCTGCTCGGGGGGGGGGGACGGCGCGAAAGCGCGAAGATCATCGTACCTCGCGCTTCGGGGAGCGCGAAGCGCAGAGGTAGTTCCCCTAGGACTGTCAGCAGCCACGTGGAGCGCACGCGGTGGAGGAGAGGCAGCGAGAGCGGCCGTGCTCTGGCGCTGGCTGCGCTGGGCTCGCCAGCGATCTCAGCTTTCCCAGGAGGCCGTGCGGTGACGATGGAGGATTATGTTGCTCCTCTTCTTCCTCTACACCTCTCTGCTTGTCCTTCACAATGCTATTTTTCGATGTGCTTCGTGCGCTTTTGTGCCTCGCCCGTGTTCAGTAGGTTTCGTGGTCACTCATGGCCCTAACTTGGGTTCAGGCTTGTATTGCCCACCACCCGTCTGAATTTCAGTCCCCAGGTTCTGGCTGTGCGTTTCTGTATTATTTTCCTCATCCTCGTCCTCCTCTCGTCCTCCTCCTCTTCCTCCTCCTCCTCCGGTGTGGTTGGTCGTGGTTGTGGTTGTTGTGGTGGTTGTGGTGGCAGGTTGTGGTGGTGGTGGTGATGAGGGCGGTGGTGGTGGTGGTGCAGCGGTTTCTGGTGCTGGTGGTGGTGGTTGTGGCGGTGGCGGTGGTGGTGTGGTGGTTTCTCGTGGTGGTTGTGGTGGTGTGGTGGTTTGTTGCGGTGGTGGTGGGTTGTGGTGGTGGTGGTGGCGGTGGTGGTTGTGGTGGTGGTGATTTGTTGCGGTGGTGGTGGTTGTGGTGTTGGTGGTTGGTGGTGGTGGTGGTGTGGTGTTTGAAGTGGTGGTTGTGGTGGTGTTGGTGGGTTGTGGTGGTGGTGGTGGTGGCGGTGGTGGTGGTTGTGGTGGTGGTGGTGTGGTGGTTTGTTGTGGTGGTGGTGGTTGTGATAGTGGGTGATGGTGGTGGTTTGCTGCGGTTTGCTGGTGGTGTGGTGGTGGTTTGTGGTGGTGGTGGTGGGTTGTGGCGGTGGTGGTGGTGGTTTGGTGGTGGTGTGGTGGCGGTTTGTTGTGGTGGTGGATTGTGGTGGAGGCGGTGGTTTGTGGATGTGGTGCTGGTGGTGGTGGTGGCGGTGGTGGTGTGGTGGTTTGTGGTGCTGGTGGTGGTTGTGGCGGTGGTGGTAGTGGTGTGGTAGAGTGTGGTTGTGGTGGTAGTGGTGGTGGGTGTTTGTGGTGGTGGTGGTTTGTTGTGGTGGTGGTAGTTTTTTTCTATGTGGTGGATGCTGTGGTGGTGGTGGTCGTGTGGTGAGTTTGTGGTGGTGGTGGTGGATTGAGGTGGTGGTGGTGGTAGTGGTGGTGGTGGTGGTAGTGGTGGTAATCGTCGCTGCGTCCCCGCCGTCGGCGCTGCTGGCCACCGCCAGTGCTGGCGCCGGCGCCGTCGCGGGGGGGGGGTGTTTTGGACCCCCCCCTTGGGCTGACTCTGGTCATCGTCGCTGCGTCCCCGCCGTCGGCGCTGCTGGCGGCCGCCAGCGCCGGCGCCGGCGCCGAGGGGGAGGGAGGGTTTGAACCCCTCCCCCCCCTCCCTAGTTTTGATCGACAGCGCCGAGTGTTAGGGGGTGCCCCCCCCGGTTCGAAAAGCGCCGCCGAACGTTCCCAAGGCAAGCGCCCGTGAAACGCGCTCTCTCGTATGCATGTATGCGTGTTTGAATGTATGAATGTCTGTTTGCATGTGTATGTACTTATGCATGTAAATGCGCATGGATGTTTGTGTGTGCATATATGTGTGAATCAATGATGAATGTATGCATGCACATGGTTATATGTGTGTATGTGTATGTGCATGTGTACGTATGTGTGTATGTACATGTACATGTACATGTAAAAGTGCGTGTGCATGTTTATGTGTATGTGTGTATGCATGCATGCATGTATGCAAAGTTGTGTGCACGGGTGTTGGCAACTAGGTATGTTTATATGTATGTATATAAATAGGTATGCGTGTGCATACATACGTGTGTTTGTGTGTATGCCGACATGTCTGTACGTATGTATGTGTATGTATGCATGTGTGTATGTATGCATGTATGTATGCATCTACGTGTGTAGGCATGTACGTATGCATGTACGTGTGCATGCATGTGTTGACACATATGTGCAAAAACATCGATGCGCATGTACACTAAACATATGTATGTAACAGATGCTCGAGCACGTTTAAAAGGAACGCCTCCCCCGTATCTAAGTCCGACCGTGGGCGCTCACACCCACGTGAAATCAGAAGTCTCGGTTTCGGGAGCCCTCCGGGCCATCCTAGGCCGCCCGGGCGGGCCCAGGATCGCTTCCCGGACGGCACCGCGGAGCCCCGAAATTGTCCAAGGCCGCTCCAGAACGGCCAAGGAGCGCTCAAAAAGGGCCCGAGGTGGCTTCAAGACGGCCCAAGAGGCTTCCAAGACGTTTCAAGAGGCCCCCAGGGAACCCTGCGACGCAGAAATCTTCCCATTCCCCACGGAAAACGCGCATGTTTAACATAGTCGCTTCTTTGGTCTCCAAAGCGTCCACCGCAGCTCAAGAGACCCCACAGATTGCCCCAGGATGGCCCAAACATATCCCAAAAGAGACCCAAGACAACCCCAAAGCGTCCAAGGCGAGCCTCAGGGTCCCAAAAGGTTCCCAAGAGAGCCCCGAGAAGGCCACAGGAGGCCCCCCAGAGCCCCAAGAAAGCCCCAGGACGGCCCAATCCGCCCAAGACGGTTCAAGAGGGTCCCTGGACGGCCCAGGAAGGCCGCCAAAAGGCCACCAAAAAGGTCGAATGAATCCCCACGGAGGCCATGAGAGGCCACATGAGAGGCCACATGTGGTAGATGTTTTCAGTCACGCGCCAAAATCTAAGCGCCAAGACATTCCTAAACCCTTAGCGCGCGATGTCACACGCCCTCACATAGTACGAGCGGCGCAACTGGCTTTCAAGGAGGCCCCGAGACGGCCCAAGAAGGCCAGGAAATTGCCCGCAAGACCCCGCAAGACGGGTTCAGATGGCGGTATGAGCCGTTCGAGCCCTATGGGCCTTATGAGGTTTACGACCCCCTATGCGCCCTCCAAGGGGCCCCTGATACGCCTCTCCCCAAGGCCCCCTGAGGCCCATGAGCTTTATGGGCCCATGAGCCCAAATGAGCTCCTGAACCTTACGACACCTATGAGCCCGACGGCCGTACGAGCCCTCCGATTCTTGCGAACCCTGGGACCCCTGTCATCACTATGAGCCCTCAGAGCCCCATCAGCCTCATCTGCCCTATGACCCCTAAGAGCCCTCTGCAACAAGAACGCTCACGAGCCCAATGCGCCGTACGACTCGATGCTTATACGCCCTCCAATCGCCACGAGCCCCAACATCTCTATTAGCTCATGAGCCTTGCAATCCTTCCCAACCATGCCACCCCCACGACCCCAACGAGACCGACGGGCCCAGTGGGCCCTATGGGCCCTATTTCGCTCATGGGCCTGATAAGGCCTACGAGCCCTATGAGCCCTATCAGCCTCATGGCCCCCACCGTCCGCGCGACCCCCTGGGCTCAATTTGCACAATGACCCTTACGAGCTCCATGAACCTCACAAACCCTACGAGCCGACCCGCTCTATGGGACCCAAGGGCCAGTGGCCTTTGTGAGGCCACGGACCCTACGAGCGGCCACGCCCAATGAACTCATCAACCCGAGGAACCCTCTGAGCTCAATTACGGCTGCGGGCTCCCGGAACCTCATGATCCCCAGGACCCGCGTTGCCCGAAGTATCCCTCTTCCACATGCGCGCTCCAAGCTTTTGGGCCCCAATGGCGATTGAAAGCCCTTCAGATCTCTGGCCAAGAAGAGGCCACAAGTCCTGTCAGCTTTGCCCAAAGGGCCCCACTGCCGAAACACACTGCGGTGCTGGCGACTACCAGTCACGGCGCGCCTCGCTGGCGCCATGCGACTAAGATTTTAAAGATGAAGCGAAACGAGCCAGCAACATTTGGTGCATACACGCATACACAATGCATACACACATACCTGCATCAATACGTGAATACCTACCTGCTTGCCCGCCTGCCTGCCTGCCTGCCTGCCTGCCTGCGTGCATGCATGCATACATACACACATACACATACACATACATACATACCGATCGATCGACCTACGTACATACGTACATACATACATATATACATACATGCATACATACAGACAGACAGACAGACATACAGACAGACAGACAGACAGACAGACAGACAGACAGACAGACAGACAGACAGACAGACAGACAGACAGACAGACAGACAGACAGACAGACAGACAGACAGACACACACACACACATACATACACATACATACACACACCTACCTACAAATGTGCGTGTACCATGGTATGTGCTGGCTGCAGTCGGAGCCCTCGTGAGGGTGCTCCGGAGGCCACCTGGGCAGGCTCGGGAGGGGGCCAGGGCCGCGCCCCCAAGGCGCGCGCCTCCTCGCCGAGCCATGCGCGGGCCGGCCGCCGGCCCTGCCGCGGCCCCTGCCCGGGGAGTCGGCGCCCCGCGGCCGGCCGGTGCGGCCGCGGCGGCACCGCTGCCGCTGGAGCTCTCCGAGGAGGCTGGGCCGGGCTCGAGGGAGGGGGAGCACGGGGATGGGGGGGAGGGTGGGGGAGGGACGCGAGGAGGAGGAGGAGGATGAGGAGGAGGAGCAGGAGGCAGCAGGAAGGAGGAAGGAGCAGGAGAAGGCAGGAGTGAGGAAGGAGGAAGGAGGAGCAGGAGGAGGGAGGAGGAAGGAGGAAGGAGGACCAGGAGCAGGAGAAAGAAGGAGGGAGAAAGGGGGAAGGAGGAGGAGGAGGAGGAGGAGGAAGCAGGAGAAGGAGGAGGAGGACAGAGGAGGAGGAGGAGGAGGAGGAGGAGGCGGTGAAGGAGGAGGACAGAGGAGGAGGAGGAGGAGGAGGAGGAGGAGGAGGAGCAGAGGGAAGGAGGAAGAGGAGGAGGAGGTGGAGGTGGAGGATGGAGGAGGATGGACGAGGAAGGGGAGGGAGGAAGACTGAGAGGGAGGAGGAGGAGGCGAACATGACGACCACAGCCACCGTGACGATGATGGGCAGGAGAGAAGGGAGAGAGAGAGAGAGAGAGAGAGAGCGAGAGAGAAAAAAATAGCCAGACGAAGGACCCAACCATATGCAGGTGTGAGTACCGCAATTCTGATTCCCTTTTCCGGTGGTGATCCCTATGGGGCAACGAACCGTGCTAGTGCTGTGCCAAATGAATGGCGTGGTACACAACGCGAACGAAAACGATTGATCTGAGTACGTAGGGAGACTGAGCGCGGGTGAATATGAGCGCGAGCGCGTCTGACTGTGAATGAATCTGCGTGCGAGCGAGTCTACGTGCATGAATGCGAGTACGCCTATGCATGGTGCAATTGTATATGAATGTTAATAGTTTGTGAATGACTGCCTCTGAGTACTCGCGACGCTGGGCGTGGCTGCCGCAAGGAGCTTCCCCGGGACTCCCCGACGGCATCGCCCGCGCGCCGCGACGCCACCGCGAGGATCGCGCCCGTTTCCTCCCCTTTTTTTACTCCCTCTTTGCCCGCGCACTCAAAGTCCAAAGCTGTGGGCGCAGCGCAGCGCGGAGTCCCAGCGACGCGCGCAGGTCGCCCCGGAGGGGTCCCAGCGACGCGCGCGGGTCGTCCGCTGCGCGCAGAAAAGAGAGCTAGCTGGCTGGCTGATAGCGGGCAAGGCTCTTGCCGCTGGGCAGAGCGACGACGGGCGAGGGAGGCGCGGAAACCCGACGGCCTCCGACGGATGTGTGCTGCGTGGCGGAGACGCGTGCGGACTTTGCCACGGGGACCTTCGGTGGAGCTCCCTATGGGGCCGCGAAACGTGTGAGGGGTGTGCCGAAATGGGTGTTCGGGACGCACGCGGGCACACCCATTGGGACCTTCGGTGGAGCTCCCTATGGGGCCACGAAACGTGTGAGGGGTGTGCCGAAATGGGTGCGCGGGCCGCATGTGCGCGGGACGCTTCCACTGGGACCTTCGGTGGAGCTCCCTATGGGGCCACGAAACGTGTGAGGGGTGTGCCGAAATGGGTGTGCGGGACGCATGCGGGCACACCCACTGGGACCTTCGGTGGAGCTCCCTATGGGGCCACGAAACGTGTGAGGGGTGTGCCGAAATGGGCGTGCGGGACGCATGCGGGCACGCCACCTGGGACCTTCGGTGGAGCCCCATTTATGGGGCCACGAAGCGTGTGAGGGGTGTGCCGAAATGGGTGTGCGGGACGCATGCGGGCACACCCATTGGGACCTTTGTGGATCTCCCTATGGGGCCACGAAGCGTGTGAAGGGTGTGCCGAAATGGGTGTGCGGGACGCATGCGGGCACACCCACATGGGACCTTCGGTGGAGCTCCCTATGGGGCCACGAAACGTGTGAGGGGTGTGCCGAAATGGGTGTGCGGGACGCATGCGGGCCCCCACTGGGACCTTCGGTGGAGCTCCCTATGGGGCCACGAAACGTGTGAGGGGTGTGCCGAAATGGTGTGCGGGACGCATGCGGGCACACCCACTGGACCTTCGGTGGAGCTCCCTATGGGGCCACGAAACGTGCGAAGGGTGTGCCGAAATGAGTGTGCGGGACGCATGCGGGCACACCCACTGGGACCTTCGGTGGAGCTCCCTATGGGGCCACGAAACGTGTGAGGGGTGTGCCGAAATGGGTGTGCGGGGACGCATGCGGGCACACCCACTGGGACCTTCGGTGGAGCCCCCTATGGGGCCACGAAACGTTGAGGGGTGTGCCGAATGGGTGATGACGATGATGTTGGTGGGAGGAGGAGGAGGAGGAGGAGGAGGAGGAGGAGGAGGAGGAGGAGGGAGGAGGAGGAGGAGAGGAGGAGGAGAAGAGGAGACGAGACGCGGGCCACCGTCTCTTCGAAACGAGGACCCAACAACACAGGTTGGTTGGGAAAAAGGGAGGGAGAGGGAGATTGAGAGAGAGGGAAGGTGAGGATCAGGGATGAGAAGGTGAAAAAGGGAGAACACAGAGGATGAGAGGCAGGAGCCAGGAGGAAGGGTATGCTGCTGATGATGATGATGATGATGATGATGATGATGATGATGATGATGATGATGATGATGATGATGATGATGATGATGATGATGATGATGATGATGATGATGATGATGATGATGATGATGATGATGATGATATGATGATGATGATGATGATGATGATGATGATGATGATGATGATGATGATGATGATGATGATGATGATGATGATGATGATGATGATGATGATGATGAGGAGGAGGAGGAGGAGGAGGAGGAGGAGGAGGGTGAAAGTCCCGAGGGTGGTCCAGCTGTGGAAGCGAGGGCGCCCTCGAAGGCCTCCGGATGCCAAACAACTGAACACTCTGTACCCTGCCCTCGACCGGCACCCCTTCATTGCGAGCGCCCCTCTGACCCAGACCTCCGACGACTTGGCCCCAGAACTCTCGACCCTTGCCCCCGCACCGGCTTTTCGTCCCGAGTCGTCAATGGGCAGCCCCAGGGGTCCGAAACCAGCCCCCAGGGGCCGAGAGTGTGGAAAAACATCGGATTCGACATCTTCGAGTCCTTGGAGCTTTGATGAGCCTTGGCTTGCGAGTCAAAGTTGCGGCGGCCTCGGGCGGCCGCTCGGGACGATTCGGGCACCCCCAGAGTGCTCTCGCCGGGGCGCAGCTGCTGGAACGCGCCCAAGGGCGCGAAGACCTCCGAGAGCCGAAGAAAACCTCCGGAAATTGCAGAGTCTACTTCTTGTCCGAGCCTGTTCAGAAGGGAAAGAAACACGCAGACACAATGAATCGTCGACTCCCAGGCGGATATAGGAAAATATGGGAATGGGGGGAAGACGAGAACCCAGAAAATATGTGCAAATATGGGGAATCCGGGGATTTGTGCATTAATTTGTGTGTGTCCCTGGGTCTCTTTACCTTTGGAGATCTGGGCTCCTTGGCCATCGATCGGCCCCCCAAGCCGCGGCGGTCGTCAACCCAGGCCTTCCACGTTGGGTCCGAGTATTGAGATAGGCTGTTTGGTTCGCCTTAAGTATGCCCAGGGCGTTTTTTAGCGTTTACAGCTCGACGTCTTGGAAATCATGTTTGTTAGCGTTTTCAGGTTTCAACAAAAAAGATTAAAAAAAACGCTTAAACAAAAATGTATGCGTTGTTTTAGCGTTTTCAGATATTGTTTTAGCGCTCTCAGCCTGAAAATGCAAAACAATCGCCCAACACACGCCAAACCAACTGCCCTACATTCGCTACAACAAAAACGTAGCGTTTTTTATCGTCTTCAGCCTGTCAAGAGCTCAACGTAGAAAAGGCTAACAAACATGCCCAGAGCGCTTTTAAGGCGAACCAATGATATGGGGTCGGAGGATCGCGCCACATCGCCGATGCATCAGCGATCCGGCTCGATGTGGACCCCGATTTTCGCCACACGGATAGCGCCGATACATCGCCGACGGTGCCGATGCATCGCCAGTGAGGGCATCATCGGTGAAATAGCGCAATGCGGCGCGATCTCCCGACCCGGCCATGGCGCCCGCCTGGCCCTGGGCGAGTGGAGTGTTGCGGCCGCGGCCGGCCCCCGGCCGCCCTGCGAGCGCGCAGAGGTGGCCGCTGCGCTGCGGACTGGCACGCCCGTGGTCGCTCTGGACGGGCGCCTGCGGGGGGAGGTCGAGGCCTCTAATTACAGTGGAGGGTTTCTCCGTAGGGCTGAGGCGACCCCTCCTCCTCCTCCGCCTCCTCCTCCTCCTCCTCCCCCTCCTTCTTCTTGGCTCCTCCTCTTCCTCCTCCTTCTCCTCCTCCTCCATCTCCTCCTCCAACTCCTCCCCCTCCGCCTCCTCCTCCTCCTCCTCCTTCTCCTCGGGTCGCCAACGGCCCTGGGGGAAACCGTGCAAATTACAGTGGGGGCGCGTATAAAGGAACGATATCTATACACATGTTTATGTAATTATAGGCCTCCCAGATGGGGTCGGAGCACATGGGGTCGGAGGATCGCGCCGCATCGCCGACGCATCGCAGAAGCGGCTCGATGTGGAGCCCGATTTGCTTAACGTCGACGTTGCCGATGCATCGCCAACGTCGACGATGCACCGCCAGTGCATCGCCGATACATCGCCGTGGTATCGCCGATGTATCGGCGATGCGATGCGATTCTCCGACCCCATCTACTCCGACCCCATGCACGAGGCCTCTAATCTATACAATTATTGATATATATATACATATATATACATATTGTTTTTTGTTCGTCAAGGTATCCTGGGTTTCGTCGCTCCGCGCGCTGCGCGGTGACGTCCCGCGGCCGTGGGAGAGACTGGTGCGTTCGGGTGCTCTGGGTTCCCTCCCGCGTGCATCGTACGCGCGGGTTTTCAGGGGTTGGGTGTCTTGCGAGGGTTTCTTGCACCGCGCTTGCATCGTAGATGGGGTCCGAGCAGGTGGGGTCGGATGATCGCGTGTGGAGCCAGACTGTCTCCACGCTGACATCGCCGACGCATCGGCGATGCGGCGCGCGATCCTCCGACCCCGTCTACTCGGAACCTTTTTGGGGAGACCTCCAGTCAGGGGGGGCGGGGCCCAGCCCAGATCGCCGAGGATGTGATCGTGGTCGATCCTGGCGCGCTTCCTCGAATTCGGCCTCTGGGGCCCACTGCTGGGCCCGCGCGGCCATCAGACATCGATCCGGGACGCGAGGCCCGCCTCCCCAGGGGGAAGGGGTCCAGAGCGCATTGGCGGGCCAGGTGCGATCAGGGGTGACGTCAGGGGCTTGGCATCGCTCGGACCTGTGCATTTTTCCTTCAGCGAGGACCATCGAGGAGCATCCTCGATCATTTGGCGAAAAAACCACGCACGAAGCCGGAAAAAAACACAGGGAATGGACGTCCGAGCGACGGCAAGGGGGGGAGGATCGGCTCGGGGGGTGCATCGACCCCCAATCGCCCACCCATCGCCTATCGAAGACGCCTACGGCGGCGAATCATCGTCGCCTCCGGCCTCTTGGAATCGCCCGTGTGGCCGAGCGCTGCGGCAGGAGCTCTGCCAGGCTGTCGGGCCATGTGTTCCCCTAGCCGTTGTGGAAACCCTTCGGGCAACACTTGGGGGAAGATGGTGGAGAAGATCAGGAGGAGGAGGAAAAGGAAGGGGCATCTTGGGAGCCTCTGGAAGCACTCTCGGGGCCTCCTGGGAGCTTCCTGGGGGCCTCTTGGAGGCATCTTGGGGGCCTCATTGGGCCTCTTGGGGGCCTTGGGGGGCTTCTCAGGGGCCTCTTTGGTCATCTTGGGGCATTCCTGGCCCGTCTGACGCCCCGTCGGAAGCCGTCTTAGGGGGCTTCTCTGGGCCGACTTCGGGCCCTCTTAGCGTGCTCCAGGGCCGTCTTGCAGGCAATCTTGGGCGATCTTTGGGGGCTCTTGGGCCGTCTCGGGCCGTCGGAAGGCCGAAATGAAGCAAATGCCAAAATCCTTGAAAACCTTGTGGGGCATCAATGATGTGGGCCTCTCTTCTGGCCTTCCTGGAGGACCTCTTGGAGGCCTCTTGGGCAGTCTTGGAAACCTCTTGGGGGCCTCTTGGGCCGTCTTGGGCCGTCTTGGAGCCATCTTGGGCCGTCTTGGTGGGCTCCTGGCCCATCGGAAGCCGTCTTGGGGCCCCCCTGGGCCGACTTAGGGCCATCTTGGCGTACTCCAGGGCCGTCTTGGAGGCCCTCTTGGGCGTCCTGGAGATCTTGTGGCTTCTTGGGGCCGTCTTGGGGCCTCTTGTGCCGTTCTGGGGCCATCTTGGAGGCCTCTTTGGCGATATTGGGGCGATCTTGGGGGGCTCTTGGGCCGTCTCGGGCCGTGAGAAGGTCGAAAATAAGCAAATGCCAACATCCATGAAATGCTTATGGAAAACCACTGAGCATGGCCTCTTCGGGATTTCCTAGAGGCCCTCTTAGGGCCTCTTGGGCAGTCTTGGAAACCTCTTGGGGCCTCTTGGGCCGTCTTGGGCCATCTTGGAGCCATCTTGGGCCGTCTTGGTAGGCTCCTGGCCCGTCGGAAGCCGTCTTCTGGGCCGGCTTAGGGCCTTTTTGGCGTTCTCCAGGGCCGTCTTTGAGGCCATGTTGGGCGTCTTGGAGGCCTCTTGTGCCGTCTTGGGGCCGTCTTGGGGCCTTCTTGGGCACCTCTTGTGCCGTCCTGGGGCCGTCTTGGAGGCCTCTCGGGCCGTCGGATGACCGAAAAGAAGCACATGCCACAATCCTCGACAAACCTATGGACAATCAACAATGTTGGCCTCTTCGGGCCTTCCTGTAGGACCTCTTTGCTGCCTCTTGGGCCGTCTAAGAGGCCTCTTGGAGGCGCCTCGGAGCGTCTTGGGCCATCCTGGAGCCAATTTGGGCCGTCTTGGAGGCTTCGTGAGCGGACTTCGAGGCATCCTAGATCCTCTTGGGCCGTCTTGGAGGCCATCTTGGACCGTCTTTGGCGAACTTCGAGGCCATCTCGGGCCATCTGAGCCGTCTTAGAAGCCATCTTGGGCCAGCTTGGAACGGGAAAGGCATTTACAGATACAGTTTGCGCTCTTTTCGGGGTGCCCAGCGAAACGGGCCGAAGCCCAAGTGGGAGTTTGTTTGGAACAGGAACCAAAGCAAAGACCGTAGGATCTAGCACGCCAGCCACCCTTGCGACAAGCACGGGGCGTCGGATCTAATACGAAGACCCCCTGCCCTTGTGGAAGCGCCTATGTGGCCGACAGCTGTGCTAGAGCTTGGCCAAGCTATCGGGCCGGCTGTTCCCCGAGTCGGTTTGGGAAGCCTTCGGGGAACCCGCGGGGGAGCAAGAGGTTCGAAGTCGCCCATTTGTAACCTCGCCGCGGTGGCATAGCAGATTTGCTTCTGATTTTTTTGGTTTTCCGGTTTTCACATTGCAAATTGGGCGCGCCTGGCGTCCAGAAGGTGCGCTGGGGGCGACCAGAACAACGCCCGGAAGAGCGCCTGGGAGCGCGCTGGGGCGAGCGTCCGGGCGAGCCCAGACGAGTGCCGAGAACAGCGCCCAGGAAAGCGCCATCAAGAGTGCCCAGAATATGGCCCAGACGCGAATCTGGAAGAGCGCCCGAAAGAGCGCCCGGAAGTGCGCCCAGAAACTACCGATTTTGCGTCCGATGTCGCGTCCGATTTCGCGTCTTTTTTTTTGTGTCGATTCAATATTGAGATCAATCAGACGCAAATCGGGTTTAAAATCTGACAAACATCGGACGCAAATCGGACGCAAAATCGGACGCAAAATCTGACGCTGATGGCGTCGACCATTTCTGGGCGGATGAGGCAGCGTATCGCGGTGCATCATGGCGAGGTCTGGTAGGGTGTGTATTGCGGACCCATGCGCGCAATTCAGTGTTGGAGTTTTAGCGATGTGGCGAACGACAAACTGCGATATCGCGTTGTGTCCAAGTCGGGCCAAATCGACAGAAAAATCAGATCGCCGCTTCAGCGGCCGTTTTTCAGGTGACCATGTGTCGGAGCGTTGCGGCAAGAGCTCTGCCAAGCTATCGGACCATGTCTTCCCCCAGCCGTTGTGGAAACGCTTCGGGGAATATTTGGTGGAGGATGGCGGGGAAGATCATGAGGAGGCAGAGGAGGAGGAAAAGGAGGGGGCATCTTGGGAGCCTCTGGGGGCACTCATGGGGCCTCCTGGGAGCTTTCCGGGAACCTCTTGGAGGCAGCTTGGGGGCCTCCTAGGGCCTCTCAACGGGGCCTTTTGGGGCTTCTCGGGGGCCTCTTTGGCCGTTTTGTTGGGTTCCTGGCCTGTCTGACGCCGTCGGAAGCCGTCTTGGGGGCTTTTCTAAGCCGACTGGGGGCTATCTTGGGGGGCTCCAAGGCCGTCTGAGAGGCCATCTTGGGCGTCTTGGAGTCCTTTTCGGGCCGTCTTGGAGGCCTCTTGGGCAGTCTTGGGGGTCTCTTGTGCCGTTCTGGGACCAACTTCGAGGCCTCTTGGGCGATCTTTGGGGGCTCTTGGGCCTCGGGCCGTCGGAAGGCAGAAAAGAAGCAAATGCCAAAATCTTTCAAAACCAAAGGAAAATCAATGATGTTGGTCTCTTCGGGCCTTCCTGGAGGCCTTTTGGAGGCCTCTTGGGCCATCTTAGAGCCATCTTGGGCCGTCTTGGCGGGTGTCTGGCCCGTCTGACGCCGTCAGAAGCCGTCTTGGGGGCTTTTTGGGGCCGACTGGGGGCGTCTTTGGGCCCTCTTGCGGCCGTTTTGGAAGCCGTTTTGGGGGCCTCTTGGGCAGTCCTGAGGTCATCTTGGAGGCCTCGTGGACACTCTGCGGGCGATCGTGGGGGCCTCTTGGGCCGTCTTGGGCCGTCGGAAGGGCGAAAAAGAGCAAATACGAAAATCCGTCAAACATCTACATTGGGCCGTCTTGGAGACATTTTGGGCACCTCTTGGGCAGTGTCGGGTCGTCTTGGAGGCTTTCTGGGCGGATCTGGAAGTATTTTGGACCCGCCTAGGCCGTCTGAGTGGCCATCGTGGCTGCATCTTGGAAGCCAGCTTGGGCCATCTTGGAGCCGTCTGGAGCAGGACAAATCTTGGCAACTGGGTGTTCCGGGTCCTTCCGGGCAGCCGGCGGGACGGGCCGGAGCCCCAGGGAGAGTTCTTTTGGAAAAGAACCAAGACCAAAGACGGCAGCGT